AAGCCTAGTATCTTCGACTCATTAGGAATAGTCCGTTGGGAGAGGAAATAAGAAGTATTCAATTCCTGCTCCCCCTGCTAAACGAGCCTGCCTTATATTGAAAGATTCATTCTGCATTCCAGTCTAACTCTCCTTTCTGTCTGTCACTGCGATCTGCCACTACTAATTACTTGCGGACATGTGAGCTAGCAGACTGAAGCTTTAGGCTTGAGCGACGTAACGGAAGGACGACATCATCTTTTTTGGACTAAAACTGCTTGAGCTGGAGCTTTCGCTGTTTAGACGACTGAGGCAGGTGCCTCCGGAAAGAGAGATGAACTAAACCTGAGACAGTAGCCGCAAGAGAGGCCAGCGGTTAGAACCTTGGCCTTGGCTGCGCCTACGATCCTAGCTCAGAGACATCTTCGACGGTAGGTGGTTATGTAGGCTGGAGGTCTCAAGCATCTTTGGTGGTAGGCTCAAGGGTTCATACCGGCAAGTGAGATGTGTTTCAGCCAACAATAGCATGTCTTTGGTTTGGGTAGCCGGATGCCACTAAGAAGCGGAGAGGCTCTGAATCCGACAGCGTTCCAATGATGAGTCCTCTGGGGGTCTCTTTATACATTCCGTCATTTTTAAAAACATGGTGAATAGAACATTAGTTGCATTTGAAGCTTGCCCAATAGAAAGTTAACCTTACCGGATGCTACTATGGTATGCTTTTCGCTTGAAGCTATGTGTTTGCCCACTCGCATCTCTTTCATAGTTATTTGGCCCGCTATGGGAAAAGATGCCCAGGAATAGGATGTTTAACACCTCCGACACTATCGTCAACAGGACATCTGGTGAGAGTTTCTTCCGAAATCGTATGCGGATTCTTAGAAGTGGCACCACTAGATGGAAGAAGGTAACATATTTATGCAGCTTCGGACCGCCTTGGTTAATGGCGTTGGACGAGCGCAACTAGCAGTATGGGGAAGGCCCTTAGAAAGAGGGTTCCGAAGTAGCGGATAGCGGAAATCAGCATTCGCATAAACTGGCTTAATTGTCATACTTTGCGGACGGATGCCTCACCTGTAACACTAGAGGTGCGCACCCTCTTGCTTGTGAGAAGAGAGAGAGCGTAAGAGGTCAAACGATATGAAGTTAGAGATTCGAAGCTGCGGCACCGGTTGAAGGCCATTTTGGAAAAACTGGTCCCTCGCAAGCTAATCATTACATTAGTGTTTTGCCTCTTTCACTGGCAGGGAGTAAATTTGAAGGGCTTGCGTCGAGACTCTTTTTTTAGAATCGGGAAAGAAAGCATGTATCCGTGTACGGGAATTTGACAGTGTAAAGCTTTATTGTCCCCTGAAAGCAGCTTTTTAATTAGTATTAAAGGGAAACTGGCAGAACTGTGACGCCTGTTTAAGAAACGTATCGGTGGTCTTTCATTTCAATAAGGCAGGTTTTTTCATAAGTCATATGAGAGTTATCTATGCAAGTAAGTCCCTGCGCCTTCAAAAAATATTGTTTGAAGCCCGGTGCCAAGCAAAGTAGGAAGTGAGAAGCCAGGGACAAGAGAAAAAGCGTTCGGCGCCGTTCAAAACACGAGGCCTTCGATGCTGTTACCCCAAGCCTCATAGTCTACTCAATCCCCGGCTCTCAACCAGACCGCGGATGAGGAACACGAATGAGAGGATAAGGGTCGCCATGAAGCAATCCAAAGGTTTCGGCAGGAGTCCGTCGAAGGAGCTGATGGGGAACAGACGGGTTAGCCCTGTTCAACAGGTTATAGCCAGCACCCGATTCAGGATGAATACACATCGCCTAAAGGGCAGAGGCATGAACACTCAGAACCAATCGATTTGAACTTATTTCAAACTTGGAGGATTGGAGCTAACCGAACTGCAAGAGAATCATATGGCCAGAGATAGCAATTTTCACCGAGAGAGTCTCCATCAGCAAAAGCAAGAAGCAGCTGTGGTTCCATTAAGTGTGAAAAAGGTATGGTTGAGCGGAATTCAGAAAATCATCACATTTTGAAGTTCATCCCTTCCTGGTTCATAAACTCTGTCTTTTTCTATTTCTTTAACACACCGAAATCCGACACATGCTTGTTGATCGAGTCAATTGGGACTGCATTTCCGTAGCTTTCCTCACTGAAGCATTCTCTTTTCTTTTTCTGTAGTTCACGAGATTGGTTCAGCTTTTCAGCAAAGGTGGCTATATACCTCTCTCTAACTATCGAACATGACTGACACTCGAAATCATTGAAATTCCCCTACCGCGCTGTCTTTATTTAAAGGGAGGAAGTAAAGGGGAGGAACAAAGTCTTCTTGACTGAAAATGGCTGACACGACCTTTTCCCATGCAGTGCACCCATCTAATCCACTTCGCCCTAAGAGCAGGACTGGACTAAGCAGTCACTTCCTTCAAAAAGCAAATTTCAGTTAGAAAGCTGACAAAGGGCCTAATCAATCCAGCAGGAAAGGGAAAGCAATCCGTTCAGGCCAGTCTTTGCTTATTTTCCTTATGGATAATAAACGTTTCTAGTGGGATGGCCTCGTCCAGTGTAGGTTTTCCTCCTAATCTAGTATAGATTAGCTTCTCCAAGGTATATATTCATGATCAATCGCTATAGCTATAGATTTTAGTTTATTTGCATAACCGTGCTTCATATACTTCTGTCTAAGGTAAGGTCTTGTACCTATCCCACGCCTACCTCATGCTGGGAAGCAGCCTTCTGTGACTCTCCTCTCGAGAGACTGATTTCTGTTTTTTAGATGATGAAGGCAATGGCTTGAAACCCTCTAAAATGATAGGATCTTTCCAGTACAAGCCTATCCTAAAAAAGTTGACTTCTCTTTTTGGCAGTATTCGTACTAGCTGTGGGAGTCACAGTCGGGCAAGCCACATTTTAAGTGAATCGCCATTCTCTAAGGGTTAGAGCCAGTATCATTTGATTTCTTTCCGTGCTCTCGAGCGATGCGGTTGCAGGATAGTTTGGAAAGCTAAAAGGATAGCGACGGGGTGAAGTGGTGTTTTGGAGGTCACATACTTTGGTTGCAGTGACATCGACATGAGTTCTCTCATTTCCGCAGTCCCAACAAGACTACAGTAAGGACGCGGGAGTTGCATGGGGAATTCGTTCCTAAGTCAAGATCACGAGCAGTCCTGGCGATATATAGCCGACTCGAATCTTGCTCTCCCAAAGGAGTAGCTTTCAAGCTACTGATCTTCTCGACCATCACCATCTTTCATCTGGTATAAAGGAAAGAGCTTTCCGAGAGCCCTATGCGACTTCCACTTGCAGAGAGTCTGCCGATTGTAGCTCTTGTTCTTCTTCCTTATCAAGTCTTCCCTTTCTTCTGATCAAAAATTCAAGTCGTCGTCACCTTAGCGAAGCACTAAGTAAGCAAACTACTTGTAAATGAAAGCGGCTGAAAAAAAAGCCATTTTATCGATAGTTATTCAAGGCGATCTCTGGATCCCTATATCTGATAGCTGTAACAGGCCTTATTCTTACAGAGAGATGCTCCTATAGTTCCTCTCTCTCATAAGAAAGAAGAGAGCTAGCCTAAGCGGAGCTACCAGCTATACTACCAGAAGAGCAGCTACTATCAGTCCTAAAGAGCCAGTATCCGTCCTTCACTCTTAAGGAAAGGATATAGACCTTAGCGCCTCCTCTTGATCACAGTAATGCAGTAAGTCTGGCTAAAGGAATATAGTATCTCATAAAGATAGGAAAAAAGGGAAAACAAATAAGGCTTCAGCGGGGGACCCATGGGTTAAGTAATTATCAGATTGCTTTCACAGGGCTTCTTGCTAAAGAGAAATTAGCGACTGATTTCAGGCTTAGTATCTTACGGTTTCATCTTATAAGCTAACTTTCATCACTTTTCATCTATTAGCCTAGCTTGACTTTTATAGTATAGGCGGGATTCCTTGCTTGCATTATCTCCATTATATAGCCCTTTTTCTTCCTTTCTTCGCCGCGGGAAGAGATTCCAACTATGCTTCCTCTAACGGTAGGACTGGAATCCGAGCTCCTAGACAAAAGCTTGAAGACAGAAAGAGAAGATCTTAACTGAATGCTTTCTATATAATAGTAGAAGTTGCGCCTAATGCGAACTACCTATTAGGTACTATATACTCTATTAGAGAAAGACTCAATCTGTCAATACTATACGCTAGGAAGAACTGGATTAGGGTAGTAGCCTAGCTCTTGAGGGAAGCACATAACTAATAGGGTTCAGGCAACTACGATTCATGTATCCCCCGCAGCCCCTATCGCCTGCCTGGAACTCCTTAATTCACTCTTTAACTATAGGAAGCGCCTAAAATCAAGCCTTTTTCGAAACTTTTTTTTTTATAGGCTAGGCAAGGCCCACCTATATCAGACAGCTTTCACCGGGAATCAAGGCGCCGGTTCGAGATCCAGTCTTTGTCTTTCCTGCTGGGCAGTAGCTCCCAAGGAAGGAGTAAGCAACAGCAGCTCAAACCTGTTTGGATTAGAGCCTGTCTGAAAGACCTCAATCTAGATCTCAATCGAGGAGAGTAGTGTCTTTCAGGGAATCACTCCTTGGATTTCAGAAAGACGCGTTTGTAGATTTAGATTCCGTCTAGAAGTCACCGGAAGAATGGTTTGGATCGTAGAGAAAGCGCGCAGGCCTCTTTGAGGAAGAGAAGTGGCCCTTCCCACTCCCGGAAATGGAAGCCTTCTTTCTCCTACCCAAAGAAGTTGGACAGTTGTGTTGAAGCACCTGTCCTTCCAGTTTGACTTGATGCTCTTCCATACCCATATGCAGAGCTGTCGGCACCACTACCAGCAGCATTCGAGCGAGCAAAATAGCAGGCATCCCTTCCAGTTCCATTTTCCGATCGAAAGCCCGTTCCTTCCGGGTCGATAGCCGATAGCGGTATGGGGCAGAGACATCAGAGAGAGGCAGATCCGGATCCCGTGCCATCGGAAGCAAGCAGTGACAGGTTCGGATCGATAGCTATACCTAGTGGCACATCCAGCATGAGCACCCGTAGCAATGGCAGAGGTGGAAGCTGCAAGGAAAGCAAGGGTGGCTGGGGCAGAACCGGAGCAAGCAGTAGTAGACCCACCAGTGGAACGAGCAGCATTTCTCGCAGCGGAGTGAGTAGCGAAGGAAGCAGAGGCCGGGAATGATCTTTGTCTACGAACAAGCAAGGAAGCGTTAAGCGGATAACCCATTGCTTCTAATGCGACTAAGGTAGCCAAGAAAACAAAGTAGATCTCGCCCAAAGGTGCCTATTCTTAGGCCGGTCACCGGGGTTAAAGCAACTTGCTACTTCTATCGCATGAAAGACAGTTCGGAGTTCGATAGAGTGATCAAGTGGTACTAGCTTGAAACAAGCCTATACGCCCGGAGGTTGGCCAATGGCAAGTGTTTCGAAGGTCACCTCCCATTCCAACTGGGGCGCAAGGGCAGTAGCGGTATCGACATTTTGAATTTAGCTCAGTCAAGTGCGTTATCGTAGGCAAGCGCCTCGTCCTTTCTTTCAGAACCTTGCTTTTTTCATTTCAAGTGCAGTCCTTCCTATTTATTATTGGCATAGGAAAGATGTGATCCAGTAATTAATGTCAAAGAAAGATGATCAGGCAGGTGGCCTAGCTAACAGCTATGGAAGTCCTAATCTTCCATGATATTTTTTATTTCGGTATACCAATCACTCCGCGAGCAGAGTGAGAGACTAAGTCCGGTATATAATGGTAGTATTCGACAAAAAATGGAAATTTTTTTCATTAAGGTAGTGGGAAAGAGCGTCATTGACGGAGGAATCATTGACTTACATCACGATATCTTTTTCTTCCTCATTCTGATTTTGGTTTTCGTATCACGGATCTTGGTTCGCGCTTTATGGCATTTCCACGAGCAAACTAATCCAATCCCGCAAAGGATGTTCATGGAACTACTATAGAGATTATTCGGACCACCTTTTTTTTTACAACTTTCGTCGGTTTTCTTTCTAGGTCTATAGGAGTTTTGGAAGCGGAGTGCCAACCCCCTACTGGGGATGAAGCCGGCCCTTCTAATGTGGCCCCGCGCGGACTCTCCTTGAGATCTTTTCCGTCGGTGCCTCTTCCTTAGCACCGGTACCGTCTTTCCCGTCCGTCCCTCTGTACCCTCGCTCCCCTCCTTAGAGGAAAATAGTATTAACCAGAGGAGCAGTCGGTTGAGCAGCCGGCCCCCCACAAACGCCGGCTTTATCCGATGATACCAATGAGCCTCATAATCTGCCAAATGGTTATTGGTTCGTTCGTCGGATACTCATCGACTACCTGAAGGCGGACATGGATACTTCCTTCGACAGAAGACCGTCGGACAGGAAGGGAAGTATCAACGGGTCTTCGAGCTGTTAGCGGGACCCAATTATAGAAGTAAGGCTCGCCTGGTTGAACTCTTGGAGAATATAGCCAACAACCCGAGGCTAATCCTACAAGGGAACGGGCGCGCCAAATGATGAATGATATATACCAGCGGCAGGGAAAAGACCGCGACCTTGACCACTATCAATTTAATGAATGAAAAAGCCTATTTCTTCCCATGCGTTTCCTGGTGGAAAAAACCACCGGCGATTTCCGACAAGTCTCTCTATTTTCGGGAGCAGAGCAGAATGGAAAGAAAATGATGGCAGAGTTATTCAGGACATTTTTCTGGAACTACTAAATGAGAAAATAGACTATCTTCAAGATCTTCAGGAAAGAGCAAGAATGAGTGCTGAAAGGAGTCTCGAGGAGCGGCAACGGCGACAGCCCAAGCCCACTTGAGCAATTTTCCATTCACCATTAATTCTGATGAAGATGGGCAACTTTTATTTCTCATTCACAAATCCATCCTTGTCTATGTTGCTAACTCTCGGTTTGGTCCTACTTCTTCTTTTTTTTGTTACGAAAAAGGGAGGGGGAAAGTCAGTGCCAAATGCTTGGCAATCCTTGTAGAGCTTATTCATGATTTCGTGCCGAACGCGTAAACGAACAAATAGGTGGTCTTTCCGGAAATGTTAAACAAAAGTTTTCCCCTCGCATCTCGGTAACTTTACTTTTTCGTTATTCGTAATCCCCAGGGTATGATACCCTTTAGCTTCACAGTGACAAGTCATTTTCTCATTACTTTGGCTCTCTCATTTTCTCTTTTATAGGCATTACGATCGTGGGATTTCAAAGACATGGGCTTCATTTTTTTAGCTTCTCATTACCGCGCAGGAGTCCCACTGCAATTAGGCACCTTTTTTAGTACTCCTTGAGCTAATCCCTCATTGTTTTCGTGCATTAAGCTCAGGAATACGTTTATTTGCTAATATGATGGCCGGTCATAGTTCAGTAAAGATTTTAAGTGGGTCTGCTTGGACTATGCTATTTATGAATAATCTTCTTTATTTCATAGGAGATCTTGGTCCTTTATTTATAGTTCTAGCATTAACCGGTCTGGAATTAGGTGTAGCTATATCACAAGCTCATGTTTCTACGATCTCAATCTGTATTTACTTGAATGATGCTACAAATCTCCATCAAAATGAGTAATTTCATAATTGAATAAAAACGAGGATGAAAAAGACAAAAATGTCGCCCCCATTTGCCCCTTCACCAACTTCTTCCTCTCTACCCTGAACAACTGCTCTGCCTCTGCTTCTGTCGTGTCCTGCGCTGGTCCGGACTGCTCCACGCCAGCTTCAACCTCAGCTGCAACTCGGGGTGGTTCCACGACTAACTTATTAATGTTAGGTGTCAACCCAGGCACCTTCCCGCTAGCCTGCCACCTTCTCTTGTTTACGACGAGGATCTCTTGGTTGTAACCAATTCTTTCTTTCTTTAGCTTCAGCCTCATACGCCAATTCTGCTTCCCAATCCTCATTAGTTAGTCGCTTAACGCGTATGTTTTTTACTCTTCTTCGTTAGCTGCATCTGATCAAGGGATTTACAAAGCCTCTTATGGTAATACGCTTAACTCATAGGCGTCGGAACGTGCGGATCCCTCTTCTTTTCTTATTCTACCTCTGGTGCGTATGAAGCGCTAGTCTTTCTGGGTCTACTAACTAGAATCGCGCCATCGTATGTGTATTCTTCTGCTGATACTCTGCGCTTTCCCTCTTAGCGTCTGTCTCTAGTGCTCGGCTCCGGTACGGGCTTTCAGCCTCACTTTCCCGGATCCGTTCAGCCTGTCTACACAAGCCTGGTTTATGCGTCTCCTTATCATTGGATAGGCCAATCGCATCGGACAATAGCCTTGAGTCGCTCCACCCGAATCCTACTACCACCGTTCAGTATTCCGATGATAGTTGCGCTCTCTACGTCGTGCTGTACCTTGCCTCGACATTCAAGGGGTACCATAACAAGAGAGATTTTATGCTAAGTCTCCCTACAAGTTAAGCTGGACTCGCTTACAGAACTTTTTTAAATAACCGTTTACCTGACGAGTTCAAGGAAATACAACAATTCGACGAGCTAACGAAAGTAGGATTTCGGAGACGAGACCCGCACGAGAGATAGGATTTATCCAAAGTCAGTCGCTTGCACTTGCCAAAAGCGCCAGGAGGTTGATTGCCATAAGCTCTTTGAACGAAACCAGAAAAAAAAGAAAAAGTTGGATCCTTTTTTCCACTGAGCAAGGCAAGATCTACGAAGGTAGGAGAATAGCTGACTCATACCTAGAGGAAAGGCAAGGTCCAACAAGAAGAATAGATAGCTTCCGAGAAAGCGCAAGAGGAGAGACGAAAGCTTGCTCAGAGATCTCTTTGACCATTCCCAAGAGAAATACCAATTTGGCTCAATAAAATAGACATAGTCTGGTTCACCAAAGAGCCTTATCTTACGTCACTGCCTCGGTCAACTTGACTTCCATCTCCTTACATAGGTACTTGTTTTCTGTGTCCAGGAAAGCGGACAGGGTAGTTCAACCAGAGCAGAACTGTAAAAAAGCGTAGAGTAGCCGTAGCAGGAAGCGTGAGGACTTTGTTGACAAGTAGAATGATGAATTGGAGTCAGAGAAACCAAGATCTAGCTTTTTCTTTGCCTGCCTCTGTTCGAGCAAGCCTTTTTTTTGAAGCCGACCTACTTGCCCTTTTTCTCTGAAATCCTCGTACTGCTTTAGCTTTCGACCAGCCTTTTCAGTTCACATGAAGCTAATCCCTCATCTGAGGCCCCAAACCAACCACTCTATCCACGAGTTTATGAATCAAATCCTGCCCTTTTTTCTTAGGTAAGTAAGCTGCTTGCTCTTTGCTCATGCGAGGGTGGAAAGCTTTCCCCCTTTACAACAGAGGCTGCTGCCTGCGAGCCTAGCTATCTCTCTGGGAAGATACAACTGATGACCACTTACTTAACTTAGGTCATTCCTTCTCGGAGAAGATACGAAAACTCGGAACCTTTTCAAGGGAAAAAACTCATTTTATGAACTCGATTTTCAAAGGGGAGCAAGAGATACGAGTAGATTGGGTTTTGTCGAGTCAAAACAAGTTGATCGGTCAATAGCGGAGGTTGTCCTCTCTTGCTGAATCGCCTCCTCGTACTGCTAGTCCGTTGTATTCCCGCTAACGAGTTTATCTGCACCTTAGTGTAGTTCGCAATCATGCTTTATTCCCTTTTCACCACCAAGTCGGAAAAATAAGTAAGACTAGCGAGAGGTAGGTTCAGGTATGGTACTACGCTTCGTCTTGGTCCCCGATCCCGATATGGGAATACCTGTGAGGAAGGCAAGACAATCATACGAGCCAGGAAAGTATACCATGAAAAGACTTCTATGAGGTTCGGATTGAGACTACGATCTCCAGTCTCTCTAAGCGGGAGTAAGCTCCTCTCCTTCTCTTCTTCGATTTGGTCGCTACGCTTCGCTTTTGTTGGTACCTTGGTGCTGGAAAGGGGGCCAAAGAGGAGAAAGCTTGCTGACTCAAGAACTCATTCGTCCTTGAGCTTCGACTTGCTGACTTGGTTCCTTAAACCTATTTCTGCCTACTGGGTCTGCTCTCCTTGCCTTGAAGTAGGTGTTTCGCTTTGGTGCTATCTTCCCTTTGACTCGATCTCCTCTTTCCTGCTCCACACGGATCAGGTTTGAGGGCGAATCAGCTTTCTCATCCAACGAGCAAGCAGGTTCCACGGGTTAGGAGGCTGCCTTTAAGTGATAGGGGGCCCTCATTTCATGTAACACAAAGGAAAGCAGTGGCCGTTCACGTTCCTCACTCAAGTTAGGGATGCAACGAAAACGCGGAACTGAAAGCATATATCCGTAATAGAGAGGAAGCCGAAGCTGCTTTCTTCTTCTTCCCTTCGACCCGAAGTTCAGTTCTTTATTCGTATAAATAAAATAAGGTTCGGTTTTTCCTACCTAGCCTAGCTCAATAAGGGGGAGAATGCCTTACTTGGAATCTCAAGCATTCTTCTTCACTTGCACACTTGCATCAACATCAAAGAGCTTATTCGATGCCATCTTCATTCCTCCCTAAGACAGGTTATTCCCGTTCAGTCTAATCCTCTTTTCATGTGCAAAGCTTATCGATCCCTTTTGAGTTAGATGTGGCATTGCTGATTCGAGAGCAGTTTTCCTTTCTACTACAATTATCCTGCTCTTCGCCCGTCGCCTCATGTGTTAAGCCATGTCTTAAGCCTAGTGCCATCTATCCATATCTTACTTTCTTTCCTTCCGCTCTGATCCAGCTACCCTCTTCTTTAATGACTACAGAGAGGTAGTTAGCCTTTCTGCCGACTAGCAGATGTTGGATATCTTATATTTTCAATACCCTTCCCTATCCTTCCTGCTGATCTATCTATGCCTTATCCTATTGCTACTGCGACTGGTAATCGCATTTTTCTTCTTTAAGTGCCACAGTTGATTCTTGAACAAAGGCATTCTAGCAACCTACTGCCAAGACCGTCTAAGGCGCAAAGAGCTATCCTACCACCTACCAGCAGCCTAATTCCCCCGTTTCCAATCCTAGCTCTACGGTTGATTCGAGAAAGAGTAAGAGGGCATTCGTTACCAACCTAAGAGACCAATCCAAACCTCCCTCTCTCTGTTCTACGATTAACTCCCTCCTGTTCGCGTGCACAAGCTATTTGTCCAATTCCGGGCACTGTAAAACCGATTCTCTGATTCAATCAAATATCCCAAAGGCCGATGAAAGCCGCCCAATAGCAAGAAGGCTTTTCAACGATTGAATGCTTCCTTCCTCGATTGAGAGGCCTAAGGAGTGCCTTTTGCGCTTTGCTTGCCAGTTAGTTTTGCGCTATCAGTTCCTTGCTTCCTTCCCCAGCTTGAAGTTCAGTTCAGCCTTAGGTCTGTCAGGTACTTACCAAGACTAAGATTAGCTAACGCTACCTTTGATTTGATGCAATACTTCCTTGACTAATGCAGTCATCTTTTTTTTTTCATTTCCAGTATGAGTACTGCGTCCAACATGAAACTTTTGATTGTAGTAAAACACCGCCTGTCCTCTTCATAGATTTAGCGCTTTTTATTATTTTGATGTTTCGTTATCGCATTTATAACTGCCTCTGGTTTAGGTGGGCAGCCCGGCAAATAGTCTTCAATTGAATTAGCTTCTCAACTCCCCAACGGTACTATAAGAAAGAATCGGTACTGAATGAACATCCCTCCTGTTATAGCTTCACTAGCTAGGAAATCTTCAGGCATTTTTGAAGACTTTCTTACTAAAGAAGGAGCCATTTTCATTGTGACTGTGCTGGCTGTGAAAATGAGGTCGGCTTGCCTAGGACTCGATCTTGGTACCAGAGAAAGTGTACAGTGAGGGATCTTTATAGGTAGCCAGTCTTTACTTAACTCGGTCCAAGCTTTACTTAGCCGCAGCTACGCCTCTCTACTCCCATGCCTTTCTTGTCGCGACCAACCAACCCGCGATTTCCGACAAGTCTTTCTTAATTTGTAGAGCAAAGAAGCGGAACCAAAATCGACGCTTTCTTCATATTTATGGATAACCAATCCATTTTCCAATATAGTTTGGGAGACTTTCCCCAGAAATGGGTACATAAAATGGAAAGATCGGACATGGAATAGATCTTATACCAATACTGACTACCCATTTCCATTGTTGTGCTTTCTAAAATTGCATACCTATACACGGGTTCAAGTTTCGATCGATATTTGCGGAGTTGATCATCCTCTCGAAAACGAAGATTTGAAGTTGTCCATAATTTACTGAGTACTCGGTATAACTCACGCATTCGTGTACAAACAAGTGCAGACGAAGCTAACACGAATATCTCCGGTAGTCAGTCCATTCCATCAGCCGGCCGGTGGGAGCGAGAAGTATGGGATAGTCTGTGTTTCTTCCATAAATCATCCGGATTTACGCCGTATCAACAAGATCATGGTTTCGAGGGTCTCATTACGAAAAAGACTTTCCTCTGAGTGATATGTGGAAGTACGCTATGATGATCAGAGAAACGTGTGGTTTCTGAACCCATTGAGATGACCCAAGAATTTCGCTATTTCGATTTTGCTAGTCCTTGGGAACAGCGTAGCGACGGATAATTCAGAATCATAGGTCCAGCCCTGGGACAAATCAATTAGGAAATGTATTTGCTTCTTA